TATTTTTAGTAGAGACGGGGTTTCACCACGTTGACCAGGATGGTCTCGATCTCTTGACCTCGTGATCCGCCTGCCTCGGCCTCCCAAAGTGCTGGGATTACAGGCGTGAGCCACCGCGCCCGGCATTTTTTGTATTTTTAGAAGAGATGGGTTTCATCATGTTGGCCAGGCTGGTCTCAGACTCCTGACCTCAGGTTATCCGCGTGCCCCAGTCTCCCAAAGTGCTGCGATTACAGGCATGAGCCACTGTGCCCGGCAGATCCAGCATTCTTGGGCCGCCTCCTGGTTACACTGTGGTCCTCTCTCTGGAGGGCAGAGATAGGCCTCCCTGAGGTCTGTGCTCTGCTCTGTTGGCCCTGACTCCTCCGCTGTGTTTCTCAGGGAGCTACGGCAACAAGGCTATTAGGTTGTTGCTCACGGAGGTTCAGTTTTCTGAACACTGCCTGTCGGGCAGGTGGTTACTGTCGCATTTACAGAGGAGGGAAGGAAAGGCCAGGAGGTGAGGGGATATCACAGTCCCCAGAGCTGCAGTTCCTGTCCTGTGTTCTCCCACTTCACCAGGTCTGGGAAGGGCAGGGTGGCTGTGACCTGGCACAGTTGGGTGTCCGTGGAGCCGGGGACCCCAGCTTCCCCAGGGCTGGCTCTGTGTCCCTGGAAGAAGCTCAGAAGTAACCGCTGCCACTTTCTGATTCTTCCAGAAGAAGAAGATGGTGGTCTTGAAGCTTTCGATGACTTTTTCCCTGTGGAGCCCGTGAGCCTTCCTAAGAAGAAGAAACCCAAGAAGCTCAAGGAAAACAAGTGCAAAGGGAAGCGGAAGAAGAAAGAGGTGAGGGGCAGCGCCCGCCCGGTGAGCTGGGGGCGGGGGGTTGTGGCTGCGTCTGCCTGGCTGCAGAGGAGGGCTAAGCCCCAGGACCCTGGGGTTTGAGGGTTTCCAAGAACTGAGTTTGATGAAAAACACTGTGACCAGTTCTCATGTGAAGCCTTGTGCATGGAAGCCTTTCTGATACGTTGGTGAGCTGTCCTGTTTCTGGAGCAGGATGTCGGAGCCTCATTTTTCCTTCCTCCCGTTGTCCTGTCCTGTGCGGGGACAGGGTGGGATTCCCTCGCCATGGTGCCTCCCTACCTCCCTGCCCCCTCCCTGCTCCGTAGCTGACCTCCATCCCTCTAAACCGAACTGTGATGAAAGTGAAGTGAGTCAGAGAAGAGTAGCAAGGCCCATTTAGGGACAGTCACCTGCAGGTGACCTCCACATTCCTGTAGCTTTCTCCCTGGCTCCTGGCTGGTTCTGGGCGGGCCAGGCTGCCGCACGCTCCGCTGCCTCCGGTTGGCGGGTGTGACGGTGTGAACGTGTCCCTGTCTTCCCACGCTGCTGACACATTCCGGGCGTGCTTCTCTGTGCTTCACGCGGGCTCACTTGATCCTCATGATCAGCCCTGGAAATTGGTGGGATGGGAAGGATGACTGTGGCTTGGCAGATGGGGAAACTGAGGTGGGCTTGCAGCTTAAAGTCCTTCCGACTTGGACTAGGACGTTGCGGTCTCCCTTTTTCTCGCCGTATGCTGCCTGGTTCTTTCTGGGCGTCTCCTCCGATCCTCCAAGTCACCCTACGTCGACAGCAATGGCGGGCACCTCCTTTCACAGATGAGAGCGGGGGCTCAGAGGTGAGCTGGCCCACGGTCACACAGTGGCAGTGCTGAGATCTGAATCCAGGGGTGTCAGCTGTGCCAGCCGCCCCCTGCCAGGCATGTTTCTCCCCTCCTGCCTGCCCCAAGGGGGCCTGAGGCCAGCTCTCCACCTTTCTTTGCCCCTGCCTAGAGGGAACTGGCCTGGCCCCACCTTGCAGGCAAGAGGCCCAGGGAGGCCGCTGGTGAGGTGTAGTGGTGGGGAAGGTGATAATGCCAACGGGGTAGCCTTGGCAGCGCTGGACCTGGATCCAGGCCTCCCTGTAGAGTAAGGTGGGAGGTAGCTGCCAGAAGACCCTAGGGGTGGATGCAGGGAGCTTGTCCCAGGCTGGAGACGCTCCCTACCATGAGAGTTCCAGGAGCACCTGTTTCCGGGGCGCACTCTGGGCCTCTTCTTGTCCCGTGAACAAGGTGAGATCACTGGAAGGCTTTGAGCAGTGGAGGGACGGACGTGATGTGACAGTCTGGCAGGCTCCCCTGGCAGCCCTGGGGCCAGGCCAGAGGCAGGAGTGGAGCCCCGGGAGGGAGAGATGGTGGTGGCAGGGGGCGAGGGTCCCTGTCTTCACCTCTGGGCCTCAGGTCTGTGCCCCATTTCCACCTCCCTGGCTTGTTCGGACACTTGGAGGCATTTTGGGGGGCCCTGAACTCTACCTGCAGCATGTGGCTCCTCCTCTGGTCTGAGCGTCAGCCTGGAGACGTTGGAAGGGCAGAGCCCACCCTGGGTGTGTCCTTGCTCAGGGATGCAGGGAAAGGATGGGGCCGGGAGATGTTGGCCCCCTTCCTCTGGCCAGAGCTGCCCCAGGTGTGTCCTGCCCTGCCTTTCTTTGCTGGGGGCGTCGGTCAGCACCACTCACTCACTTCCCACCCACCCTCCTCTCCCGGCTGCTGCCTCACATGGCCCCTGCAGCCCCTGACTCTCCTGGGAGAGCTTCCTGAGTGTACACTGACCAAGTCCCATGGCCCCCTGGTCCAGAGCCTGTCTGGCGCCCCCACTGCTGCCCTCCAAGCCCCTGCCCCCACCTCCACCTGCTTTGCAGCTGCTCCAGGCCCTTCTGGTTCTCCGTGCACACGCATGTGTGCAGGTGACTGTGTGTGCACTACCCTGTCTTCCCCTGGAGAGCCCCTGGCCCTTCTGGCCGATTCTGTGCGTCTTCTTTGTTGCCCCTCAGCACTGTGCCCCATCTGGCATGGTGTCTGGGATGGATGTGTGTCTGTCCCTTCCCAGGAACTCCCCATTACCACTGGGCCAGCATGGGGGCTGCATGGGGAAGATGTGAGGTGAAGGGGAGGACCCGGGTCCTCGGAGCAGGGTGTGGAGGCTCCTGCCTAGCCCATCAGGCCCCGAGACTCCCAGGCCTATGCTCTGAAGCTTACATCTTCCCCAGGTTCTCAAAAATGGTGAAGCTCCCAGTCCCTGTTAATTGATGGGGAAGTGGAGATAGGAGAGGGGAAGTGGGGATTGAGTGCCTGGAGGCCTCCCTTGTGAAGGAGAGGCTGTGGGCCAGCTTCTTTGGCATGGGGCTCCCTGAATTCCCTGCTGCAGCCCCTGCCCTTCTCTTCCGCTGCCTCAGCCGCTGCCCCCTGGCCCCAGAGGTTGGTCCTTGTGCTGGGCAGAGGGTAGATGGCTCTGGGCTGCCAGGCCCTGGGATGAAGGCACCGAGAGTCTCTGGCAGAGGCTGTGAAATCTTGCTCTGCTGCCATCCTCCACTCAAGCCTCAGACCTGGGCTCCACGGGCTCAGGGTGATGTGGATTTTAGGACCCTGGGGCTCGTGCCCCATGGCAGGGCCTTCTACCTGTGAATCCCCCCCCACCTCCTTGGAATTAGAAGCTGGGTGGGAGTCTAGGCCAAGACAGGCAGTGTCCCCTGGGCCTGGGTCTCAAGGCCACTGGGTTGGGTGGGCCTGGCTCCCCTTCCCTCTCCTGGGCTCAGGGTACAGCAGGGCTGGGAAGGAGGCTGGGGGGTGGGCAGCGTCTGGACAGTGGCGAGGCTTGGGGACTGGGGTCGGTTGGTCTCTGAGCCCTGGGAGGGCTGGTTCTCTCACTCTCATTCCCAGGGCTATGATCCTGCTGAGCCTTCCTTCTTCCGGTCTTCCCTCTTGCCTCTTTCTCTGACAAGATGTTTTTGTTTTTGTCCAGGTCCCTATCTCTCTCTGGCTCTTGTCTGTCTGTCTGTCTCTCCCCGGGTCTCATATTCCATCCCTCTCTCTGGCCTGTGCTTGGTCTTCACCTTGGTAACCTCTCGGCATCTCCTCTCTCTCCTTTGCCCTCTTTTCTCTCGTACCCTCTCCCCTCATTTCCCTCCCTCTCTTTCATTTGCTCCACCCCTGCCTCACCCTTTCTCCTTCTCTCTACTGAGATGCAATCCTGGTTCTTGGAAGGGGTAGGGGGCTGGGGTGGACAAGAGGCCTCCGGAGGTGCTCCCTCCCCTGCATTCGAGAGCCTGGCTTGGGCCAGCTGTCAGATCTTAGGAGGTCTGGAGCATGCTGTGGCCCAGCCGCCGGGTGCCTGCTGCCCACCTGCCTGGCAGACTTGGGGGCCCAGGATATAGGCAAGGGGATTCCACCCCTCTGCCCTTCTCTATCTCCAACCAGGTGGCTCCAAGATCAGGGGCAAAGGGACCAGGGCAGTTGGGCCACAAGCAGCAGTTTGTTGGTGGCGGGAGGCTGGCCGCAAGTGGTGGATTCTGATTTACATAAAATAACCAGGCTGCAGCCGGAACCTGAGCATATGTAGATGAAGCTCCCTGTCAGACCCTAGCTAGCGCAGGAGGGAGAAATGATTTCAACCTGTACTGCAGCGGTTACCATAGCAACCAATTATTCAGTGCTAAATTATAACTGTTTATAACACTCATGAATGGGAAGGCTCCTATTTCATTCTTCCCTTTTCCCTCTCAATCTTGAAGGACCCCAAACGGAGAATGACCCACTCTCCGCACCCTTCCTTTTGAGTTTAAATGTCTCCTTTTTCAGGAGATGTGGTGCGTGTGCGGAGCATCCGGCCAAGAGGGAAGGGAGACGGAGGTGGGAGGCCTCCGCCGAGAAGCGTCTGCGGAGCTGGGAAGGAGGAAGGGTGGCGGGCCTGTCCACTGGGATCCCCAGGGCCGTGATCGTGATCGTATGCTGTGTCCTCAGTAGGGTGGGGGCTCAGAGCACAGACCCCTCCTGCCTGCCTCTGCCTCCTGGCACATATCGGCTGGGCGTTAACAGTCAAGGCAGCTTTGAAGGTGGATTCTGTTTGGGGACTCCACGTCCACTAAGATTCTTCTGCTAGCCGATGGAGCGTCCCTGTAGTCACACCTAGGGCTGCTGCAGCTGAAAGGTCAGTGCCAAGGTTGAAGGCCAGCTGTCATCCGGATATTCATGCCCGCAGTATGGTTTGATTGCTCTCAAGCCTCAGGGCTGGGTTGGTTCGGGGGCTTAGCTAGGGCATCATCGGTTTGTGTCTGTGTCTCCTCCCCTGCACGTGGCCTGGTCTATGAGCCTCTCCGTATGTTTTGAGATACTGAATCGTGCATTTACCTCTGGTTCTTGATTATTTCTTCCCTTCTTGCCCCTGGATGATGCTCCATCCCTCCAGGTCCCACTGATGGGCGCTGCTCTGCTAGGTGTTTTCAGAACTACTTGCAGCTTTCTCTGCAAGGAGAGATTTTGGAAAAACAATACAGAAAGGAGGCCTAGTTCTAGAGTGTAGAAACAGCTGGATGCAGGGTTCCACCCTGTACCCCCACCCTTGGCCCACCCCTGGTAGGGGAGGAGGGTGCAGGTGGGAGGCTCAGCCATGTGGGATCCATGTGGTGGAGGCAGGGCAGAGGCTCAGGGCCGGGGAGGCAGATGGGGACTTGGGAGTCAGACCAGTCTCTTCAACTGGGCTCTCTCTAGTGCAGGTGGATGGAGGAGGGAAAGAAGTGCCCTGCCTCCAAGAAATGAGGGTTTTGTGGCTTGCCTGAGCCCTAGTGGATGACTTCAGGGCTGGGACCACAGATGGGCGACAGACGTGCCTGGTGTCATCTGAGCCCGTTTCATGCTGAGGGTTTGTGCCCTCCTGCTCTCCTGCTTAACCCTGAGCGGTTACTGGGTGAGCCCTCCGTCAGTGCCGGGTCCCCGGCCTTCTGCCAGCCCTGCTCTCCCGAGCTGGTGTGCTCTGCTGCTCCTGCCAGACAGTGGAGGCTGCTGGAGGCGCCTTCCCCTCCCTGTCCCTCCCTCTGCCGGCTCTCCCTGGGCTGCCTCTCCTGGTCTCCCCTGCAGGTTGCTGTCAGATGCTGGGTCGGCTCCTGGCAGACATTGACACAGCAGCCCCTCTTGTCCAGGTCCTGCTCCCTCTGCGCCGTGTTGCCGCCCAGCGGCTGGCAGCCTCTGTGCAGTTAGCTCGAGCCCAATCCCGACAGCAGAAACATGGGGGCAAGGCTGCTGTGTCGTCTCCGGCTTGTCATCCTGGCTGTATCTTTGGCTTCCAAACAGAGCTGGGGTCATCATGGGTCGTTTGGGCATTTTCTGGGCATCATCAGAATCACAGAAGCCTCTAGTGTCTGTGCGTGGGCATGGCGGTGTCAGGGGCAAAGGTTCATTCTGACTGCAGCCTGCTCTGGCTTGGTCCAGTCCCCTGCCCAGGGCGCAACAAGGTGGCCCAGCCCTGGAGACCCGGGTGCGGGACCCACACCCCCGCCCAGCTCAGAGCACTACTTCTCTGTGCTTAGGTTTCTCTCATGTCTGAGATGTTCCAGGCATTTTCTTACACAGTCTCTCTGGTTCCATTCTTCCTGGCATCCCCAGTTCACAGACAATGAAGCTGAGGTTTAGCTGGCTATGGTGACTTGACGAAGTCTCAGGCTTGCAAGGAGGAGAGCCTCCCCAGGGAGCCCAGGACCCCCTGGCAGGCCACCCAGGATTAATCATGGGTCTCCCAACTTCATCCTTGGTGGGTTTGTGGGATTTGTTCTCTGGCAGCTGAAAGCCACCTAGAGCCCCTTCCTCCGGGAGGTCCAGCCTCTGTCCGTGGTGCTGAAGTTCACGGTGGTCTCTCTTCCTTGTCCTTACCTTTGCCTGGGCGAGGGCTGGGGGAGAGCGTGTCTCTCAGGTCTCCTAAAGGGTGGTCTCTTGAAGCTAGCCAGACTCTGGACATGGACATCACTGTCTGACCTCCACCTCCCCAAAGGACCGAGGCCGAGCCTGGGAGCTATGGCCCCCGGGCCCAGCATCTCCTCCAGCCTTGAGAGCAGGCTCCCAGCCAGTGACCACGTCAGTATTCCCGGAAATACCCGGGTTCCGGAAAAGCAAAGAGCACAGAGGCCCTGCTGCCTGCTAGCTGCCAGCGCTGCTGACTCTGGCGGCTTAAGGGGCTAAGAGGTTTGGGAGCAGGGAGGCTGCCGGGCAGGGGAGAGGGAGCGGGGCTTCCAGGGGAGTGGGGAAGTGCAGGCAGTCTGTTGGGGGAGCTTCCCAGCTGGATCTCAGAGGGGGCCTCCAACCTCCCCAGTCAGTGACCATCTCCCCCCCACTAACTGATGGATGTGCCGTTTGGAGCCACTCTCCAGGGAAAAGGCCACACTTGACCCTGTGACCCTATCCAGGCAGGCCAGGCCTCAGCCTTCGCTGCACCCTCATCCTCTTTCCTTCTGCCACCCTCTTCTTTCTTTCTCCCTCTTTCTTCCCTCCCTCCCTCCCTCCCTCCATCCCTCCCTCCCTCTTTCCTCCTTCCTCCCCGCCACTGCTGTTTCCTGAGCTCATTTTTTATCTCTCTGGTTCTCTCTCCGTCTCGTCCCATGCCTCTCCCAGCTCACCCTGAAAACAGTTCATGGCAGTCCTGCGCATGGCCAGCCCCTCGTGGGGGATCATGGCAGGGCTGCCCAGCCCCTCCCTGAGAAGGGGTTGTAGAGGGCTTTGCCAGTCGACTCTTGTCTCTAAAGGCCACAAGTAAACTGCTTTCTCTGAGGGGCAGCACCTCTCTGGTGGGGTGCTCTGGTTGTGGATGCCCTTATCTTCATATAAATGGGCCATTTTCTGCCTGTACAGACAGGAAACTAAATCAAGGAAGCCAAGCTTAAGAGCTGCCTAAATTACCTTGTCTCGTACGGAGAGGAAGCGGCCAGGGTGGGGGTGGGAGTGGGGGAAGGTGAGCATGTGCCTTCCATAGCAGTGTCTGCAGAGTCCGCACACAGAGAAAGCCAGGATGTGCACGCTGCATTGATTACAGATCTCATCTGACGAACGCAGTTCCGTGGAATGTGAACTTAAGTGGAGAGCTGCTGTGCTGGGGCCCGTGATGCAGCGGCTCTTCCCTGGCTGGGGCTCTTTCTTCTCTGGCTGGGACCCTTCCCTGGCTGGGGCTCTTTCTTCTCTGGCTGGGACCCTTCCCTGGCTGGGGCCCTTCCCTGGCTGGGGCTCTTCCTGTGCACTTTGCTTTTTGACTCTGGGATCACATCCTCCACCACCAGCTCCTGCATCCGTGCCCCGGCATGTAACACTGGTTAGACCCCCAAAGTCCGTAGAAGCCTGATGGTGACTGAAGCAGATCCTGAGTTGAGCAGCAGGGCTGTGGGAGTAGGCCCAGCTGAGCTTGCCGGTGGGGAAGTTCTGCTCTCACAAGAGCCTCACTTTGCCTCATCTGCAGGCTCCACTGCTTCCTGCGGTATAGTCCCTGGGGGCGAAACTTGGCTCAGGCTGGCTCGGGGTTGCCCCTTTGGCTGGGCTTTGGGGCTGAGGCATGAGCAGTGGCCCCTGATGCTGAGTAGGGTGACTGATCCCCAGCATGGGTCAGGAGGTGGCTCTCAGGGCCGTCCTGCTGCCCAGGACTCTGGATGTTCCTGGGGCCTCCATTGCCCTCACTGTCCCCCTTCTTTTCCAGGGGAGCAATGATGAGCTATCAGAGAATGAAGATGATCTGGAAGAGAAGTCGGAGAGTGAAGGCAGTGACTACTCCCCGAATAAAAAGAAGAAGAAGAAACTTAAGGACAAGAAGGAGAAGAAAGCCAAGCGAAAAAAGAAGGATGAGGATGAGGATGAAAATGATGATGGATGCTTAAAGGTAACCACGGAGGCCTGGCTGGGGGGACAGAGCGACATCGCCCTTGGAGAGGCTGAGCCTCTTGCCTGTCTGTTCTTTTTTCTTTTTTCTAGATGAGTCGCTCTGTTGCCCAGGCTGGAGTGCCGTGGCTCATGCCTCAGCCTTCCAAATAGCTGGGACTACAGGTGCACATCACCCCACCTGGCTAATTTTTGTATTTTTAGTACAGATGGGGTTTTGCCATGTTGGCCAGGCTGGTCTTGAACTCCTGGCCTCAGGTGATCTGTTTGCTTCGGCCTCCCAAAGAGCTGGGATTACAGGTGTGAGCCACTGCGCTGGCCTGTTCTCTGCCTTCTGACCTGAGAGCCTGAGTCAGAAGGGCCAGAGCGTCCTTTCCCACCTGACCCACAGATGGGGCTGTGAGTGCGTGTGCTCACGTGGGTGCATGTGTGCACGCACAGAAAGGATGGATGAAATTTAGGGCTCAGTGGTGGATCGTGCCGCATCTTGCTGATGTACTGGGTGCTCTGCCAACAGCTTGCCCGCACGAGTGAGCAGCTATTTCTGGCGAGAGTGATAGATAGTACCAGCTCAAGTTTAGTGTCAGGAACCTCTTGCTTGGAGCGATTTGGAAAAATAAAACAACAAATGGAGTCTTTGCCGCAAGAAGTGCTGGACAGCTTTGTTTATGGTAGAAAGGGACCTTGTGTCCTGAAATCCTGCCCAGGTGGGCGTTCCCAGAGTCTCCTACTGGAGGTGGGGCAGAGCAGCTACAGCGATAGGCCAGCTCTTGCCTGGGCCCAGCGTCCCCAGGAACATGGGAAATGATGTGAAGCAAGCCAGGCCTTTATGGCCATGCTGAGGTGCTCCGGAGTCTCCGAAGCTGCACGGTGGGGCTCCTTGGGGAGGGGGAGAGGCCAGGGGTGAGGCTGGTGGACAGGCAGTGGACGAATGACAGTGCCAAGCAGGAACACTGCACTCGCTCCCTTTGTTCTTTTATGAGACACCAAGGCTTAGTTTGGGCTGGCTGTGAATTTAAAGATAAACGCTCTGTAAATATTAGTAGAGCTGCTGTTGGGTGAGGCAGAAATCATGAATGTGCAAGACTGAAGTTGGGAGGTGCCAAAGGAGGAGCAGCTCTTCCTGGCAGTGTCCTGACACCCGGGGTGATTCTGTGAGTCAGTGGGGTGTTGTGAGTCACCGGAGACTGATAATCACCGTGAGGCTGACAGTTCCAAAAGCTTCACGTAAGGGAGTAACTCAGGGTCACCCTGTAACAGTATCATCCCTTCGCTCACCTGCTGCTCCGCTGTCCTGGGTGGGGGCCAAGGGGCCCATGTGCCATCAGGAATGGTCGTATGTGTCCATGGGGGCAATTCAGCTGCGGAGGGGGCCCTGTGTGGGGACTCCCCTGAGCTGTCGCAGAACAGGAGTCAAGAATGGGCTCTGGAGCCCTCCCGCAGCCTGCACAGGCAGGCTGCTTCTCAGTGCTGGTTCTGGCAGCCTTCTGTTGCAGGAGCAGAAGCCCAGCTCCGGGGCATAGGTGGTGGAGGGATATGTGGGATCAGGGCCCTGAGAACTGAGAGGCAAGAGGCATCGGGGCTGTGGGACCCAGTGGTGTTATCGGGCGCTGTTTCTTTGCATCTTTCACTCTGCCTCTGCTGTGTCATCGCTGGGCTCAGGCCACGCACCCTCATGGCTGGTACTCTCATGGCTGAGTCTTGTGGCTGGCACTCTTGTGGCTGGTACTCTTATGGCTGAGAATGGGTGCAGCAGCGCGGGGCATCTTGGCCCCTCCAGGAGGAGGGAGAGCAGGCCTCGCCTGTCCAGGTGTGCAGGCAGGAGACCAGCATTCCCCGTGACTGGACTGGCTTAAGACATGACTGGCCTGACCAGAGACTTTGGCCTAGGGGTAGTGTGTGTGCTGATTGACTTAATGTATTGGGTTGGGTGGGGGCAGCTCAGGGCTGCCTGGAAGAAGTTGGGAGGAAGGCAGGTGGGTTGGGTGCTAACAATTGCTAACACATTTTGACACACCCTGTTCCAAGTCCAAGCTCCTTCATGAATTCATTCTGTTCTGCAAGGCAGGTGGTGCCATTATCTCCATTTTATAGATGGAGAAACTGAGGCAGAAAAGTTCAGTAACTTGTCCACCTCTCACCACTGGTATGTGGCAGAGCCAGGATCAGAACCAGCCCATGCCCATAGCCAGCACCTCTCTTTCTGAGCCCAGCAAGCCTGTGCTGCCTGGTCACCTGGTCACCTGACCCCTGGGCTAGCTCTCCTGAGAACTCACTGTGCCCCTGGGATGTCCCCCCACCCCAGGCCTCAGCAGCTGTTGGACCCTCTCAGGGCTCTGCCCCCAGCTGGGTGCACTTTCCGTTCACTGGAACCTGGCAGTGGCCTGCCCTTTGCAGGGGCTGACCTGGCTATACCTGGGCACCCTGGGGAGGCCTCAGGTCTTTTTTTTTTTTTTTTTTTTG